GACATGTTTTAGGATGAGTGTGCGCCGCGCTCAGGCGAGAGCCGCATTTTCAAAACGGCCCACCCCTCAATCTGTGAAACTTTTGCACAGTTGTGAGACGAGCGTGCGCGTCGCTAGCGCGAGCACAACTTGAAACCACACGCCCCCAAGTCGCCAAATTCTTGCACAACTTTGCAACGATTGCGCGCGGCGCCGAGGCGAGAGCCACACTTCGAATCCATCTGCCCTCAATCCGCGAAGGTCTTGCACATTTGAAAACGATTGCGCGTGGCGCTAAGGCGAAGGCAGCATTTTGGAAACGAACCGCTTTCTATGTATGAAGCAGTTGTTTGGTTTTAAGTTCAATGGTCGTACATGGCAAGTGAGTGTCAGGCGAAACGCCCGGCCTGCCTTTCGACTGGTTTCGGGGTGCGACATGGTGGAGTTATTTGTGAGGAGCAGGAATGCAGAGACGAGGAAGGAGAAGCAAATAATGACGAGTGATGGGTGGTGAGCAGAAGATATGAAAGCGAAGGAGGACGAGGAGAAGGAGGGAGGCGGGAAGAGGATAGAGGAGGGGGACGGAAAGAGGAGCAGCACCAAGAGTCCCATCCGCGTCCGGAGGTCTTCTGCTACGGCCTCGACCTATTCTTCTCCCCGGTGCAATCGGCAAAGGCCCAGCGCAGCGACCGCTTGGGGTGCCAGGGCGTGACCAGAGGGACCAACTTGAACGACATAGTGAAAGGATCAACTCTGCGGACGCTTGTGCGTCAGCTGTCCGCGTGCAGTGGGCAAGGGCTCAGCGCGGCGATTGCTTTGAGTGACGGGTCGTCAGCAGAGGGCCCACTCGAGTTGCGGAAAAAGCAGCATTGACTGCGCAGAAATTTGTGCGTCAGCCGCCCGCGTAAGACCGCGCGCATGCACCATTTGACCCTCGAGATGTTCATCAACACTGGATCCGGGACGGAAAGCTATATCCATCAAGGTGTAGGGACCTCTTTCGTCGAAGGGACGTCCCTGTGAAGGCCAGTGGGCCAAGCTCCTGTCCCACCGATCCTCTCCCCTGACCACTCAACGCTATCCCTGGTTTCGAAGAAAGGCATGAATATAAACTTTCAGTGCTCCGCGCAGATTTCTTGGATCCGCGTTGAGGCCCCCCCTGGCGGCGCCTCCTGCGCCGCCCCTTGCGCGCTCCGCGCGCCAGGTAGGAAGGTCCAGCGCCGATCCAAGAAATCCAGACGGACCTCCGACAATTTATGTTTATGCAGTTTTGAGTTTCCAAATGGTGATACCGCCCTGTCTTCTCTCCACTCCTCCCTCCATGTTACTCTCCTTCGTTCGGCCACTGGCGGCTGTCCAACAGGTCCAGGCTGCCCAGCAAGTGGCACAAGTGGTAGTGGCGTTCACAGCGCTCTGTGGTGCGCCACATGGGATGCCACGTGGCATTCTCGTTTTATGTACCACGTATTTAGATACTGTAACATGCGTTTGTGTGTGCGACTGTGCGCTATTGTCTCGCACTGATGTCGGCGCGCCTTCGTGGCTTCGTAGACCCCACTTCGCCCCATCGCGAGCAAAGCAATCGTAGAACATGCAAATGTCAGCTATTCCGAGCTAATTGCATGCGCACGCGCTTCGATTATGCGGATGGCATCGATGACACTTGTGATGACGATGGTGCTTTATGCTTGGTAGGCGCGACGGCAAGCACGACGACGAGTGCAGCAGCCTCGAGCATCCGTCGCTTGACCTGGGGCACATTCGGTAGGATCCACACCCGATGCCTGGGGGTGAGCTCGGGGTTTCGGACGCAGCCCCCAGGGCGCTCCCAGGGAACGCCCGCGTGGCGAGATGCCGAGCGAAGGTGCGGCCGTGCTGGAGGACTGGGTGGTCTCCCAGCGCCTCGGGGGCCGCCTCCTGCCTCGTCCGCGGCAGGCAGGACTGCGCTCACGTGCCCAGAGGTGGTGCGCGTGCCCGGGGAACACGTCCTGAGCATCCCGACTGGAGATCGGGAGCGGAAAAGAGGGGGGTGATGACTAGGGACTAGGAGGGGGTGGATTTCATGGCGCGGGCCATGATTTTTCCTCAGATTTCATGACGCCTCTTCTCATTTCATCACGTCCCAGGCCCCCCCGCTGGGCCGCGCACATGCCGCCGGTCATGATTTGCACACCCGCCTCTTGGACACCCCCCTCTTGGCCGCTCCCGAGGAGAGCCGCGCCGCTCCGAGCGGGAGAGGCCGCTCGAGGCCGAATTTGCGCTCGGCTTTCGCCGTGGGCCGGGCGGGAAGCATCTCCGCCTCCTCCTCCTCCTCCTCCTCCTCCTCCTCCTCCTCCTCCTCTCTTCCTCTCTTCCTCCTGGAAGGGCGCGGCCGAGGGCCAGACTCCGAGCCGCTGCACTCCGGCACGCGGAAGCCAGGCGCCGCGCCGAGAGCCCGCAGGCCTCTCGTCGAGCAGGGGGCGGCGGCGGGGGGGGGGCGGAAGCGCATGGGAGTAGGGGGAGGAAACAAAGGGTGTGGCGCAACCCTCCAGATTGCACGTCGTGGTGGTCGCCCTTCCCCTCCTCGGCCGCGGCGGGCGTGGGCGTTGCCCTCCACAGCTCATTCCTCGGACACGTCGGGTCCAGGCGCTGGCATGTCATTCTGCCTGGGCGCGCCGCTGTCCTTCGGTTGCGAGGTCGTTCTGGCGCCCTCGACGTCATTGTCGTCTACTTCCACACAGGGGTTGACGTCTTCCCGGAGGATGTGGAGGCCGCTGGACTTTCGCATCATGGACGCACTCTGCTTTTCAGAGAGCTGCGAGATTCTCTTCGTTGGCGTCTCTCTCGGAATATCTCGAACAGGGAGGAGGTGCTCACCGTTCTTGGCTGCGATTTCAATTATGTTTCTGATGCTTGCGATCGCCGCCGCACTTCCTCTGCGACGTCCACGGGGAGATGGGATGCCCAGGACGAGACGCACTGGGGGAGAGTCATCGAATCTCTCACGGACTACACGAGTTGTACCAACCCGAGATGACCTATGCCTCGCCGAATGCACGCTCAAGGCTTGATCGCATCTATTGCAACCAGAGCACGGTGGATTGCTTCCACCGAAAGATGGTCGGCGCGGCTTCGGAGTGGCATCGAGGGCTTTCACGTCACCGTGCGATCAGCTTCCAGCGCACCCTCCCAAAGCGATCGTTGGACGAGGCCGCTCCGCTGCTGGAGCATGTTCTTGGCAACCCTGAATGGCCGCATCGCGTGGCACTGGCGTGGCAGGACTTGTTGGCAGCGGAGACCGACCCGTCTTCTCTTCGCGCACTCGTCTGCTTCAAGGCAGCTATGAGAATTGCCGCACGGAGTTGGCCTTAGTCTGCAGCCCCCTCGGACGGCCCAGCTTCGAGCGAGGACAGGCTCGGCGTTGCGATGAAATTCCTGCGCTACTCGGAGGACGGCTTGGCGACAGGGGTCAGCCAGTGCATACTAAGGTACCCGCTGCTAAAGGAGTTGGTGGACAACCCGTATGACTTCCACCCCAACCATGGCCGACGTCTACGTTTGGTCCGGCTTCTTGCCATGGAATTTGTCAAGGGCCACGCCATGGATAAGTTAAACAAGCTGCACGACGAATTCAAGGAACTGTCCGAGGAGCAGGTTACGCTGCGACGACAGCGCAATCATCGTTTACTTACCCGATTGGCTCCATGTCGAAATTGCACGAATTTCGCGCTCGCTGTTGCCCATGGGCGCGCTTGCATTGACCCAGAACACATTGCCAGTACTGTGCTGTTCCCTGATCCCCGTGGATGGGCGCCTCCAGACGTGTAGCGGGATTTGCAGCCCATCGGCATTACCACGGAGCCGGCGGACGCCCGCAGCACTTCTGCGGCAGCCAAGTGCAGAGTGCACCGTTGGGAGAATCGCCCGCACGATGGGCTATCCATCCGGCGTCGTGAGCGGCATCTCCGCGCCGTCGTCCAGGACTCCCAGCACATCCTCCGCAAAGCGACGTGGAACACATGGTGCGAATCGAACTTCTTGTCCAACCTCCAGGCCGCAAGCGAAAAATTGCACGCGAAAGCACGCCAGGCCGGCGCGTCGGTCGACGAGCTGGTCCAGGGAGGCGCTCGTGAGCCCACGCCCCGGGGGCGCGGGCAGACGCAGTGCAAGATTATTTTTCGCACCCCGCAGCTGGAGCGCGCGCATCGGCACTTGCGCCGCTGCTTGGGCCGACGGCCCATACATATTATTCCAGGTCGTCTTGTGGACAGAGCGATTGCCATGCTGCGCGGGCTGGCGCGTTTAGTGTCGCGCGGTGTTTGGGCTTGCTTTTTTCGTGCGCTTTGCAACGGGTGGGCGACGAGCCGACGCGTGCAGCGCAGGGCGCCCTGCTGCTTCGGCTGCGGCGCTGGCGAGGGCAGTCTCGAGCACTGCAATTGTTGTGGCCGGGTCGCCGCGTTCAGCAGGCGGCGCCCTGGCCTATCCCAGCCGCCCCCCTCTGAGCGCCTCGCTTCCGTCCTCCCCTTCCCTGCTTTTCCCGATCGCGCTTCCAACGAGCTCGCGCGACGGGCGCCCGCATCTTACAGCGATGACGCGGCAGCCAACGCCGCGCGCCACGGTTCGACGAGTGACGCCACGGAGGTTGTGGCGCAATTTGCGCGCGAGTCCTGCGCGGCACATGCTGGCCTTGCAGCCCCAGCGGCAGCTATTTGGCAGAGCTAGCCCTCTCCTCGCCCTTCTGCTCCTCCGTCCTATTCCTTGATCGGGCCCTCGTGCCTCCTCCTCCGCCTCTTCTGGATTGTGGCCGTTTTTCTTCCCCCAGCGGTGGCTGGGCAGCCAGAAGGGCTGCAAGTCATTTCCACGGGTGTTATGCGATGCTTAATTCCTCGCAGCCATATCCCAGCAGGGTTTTTGTGCACTCCCCCTCCTCTTCCTCGCCGCTCCCAGTTTCACCGATACGAGTTGGGGACATTAGTATCATTCCGTGTGCGCGGCATTGTTGGGACAGCGTTCTCCTAAACAGTGGCGGAAGCCAGCGCCATGTGTTGGCTCCGTTTGTGTAGGTTTCCTTGCTTCCCATTTGCTGCCGTTCCTCCCCCGTCTCACCCCTCTCCGCGCTAGAGATAGCCAGACGGACAATGGTCCGCTGGGCAGGCTTTGCTGCTGTGCAGATGTCCATTGTCAGGCTTTTCCGCCGCCGATCGCCAGTGTGGCATGGGCCGACTTGCTGCGGCAGGTAAAAAGCGACGTAGTGCCTTGACAGACGAGCCGATCCGGCAACATTTTGTTTCACGCGCTTGCTGTTGTCTGCCTTAGGCCGTCCTCATAGGATCGTTTCACTTTTAGTTGAGCGTGCCGATCGCCGAGAATGCGGTGACATTAACCCAGCCGGCCAATCGAGCACGATCGTTCTCTGTTGTGGACGGATATCGCCCCCATGAGGGGGAGCGGATTTGCCTTGGGGGGATGGGGGACACAAAACGAAAAAAGAGAGGGGAAAACAAGTAAGAGGAACAACAGAAAACTAAACAAAAACGGTCTCGCCGGCCGGGCGCCTGGGCCGCGATCCCGTGGAGAGGGCGCCTGGGCCGCGATCCCGCGGAGACGGGGCGTTTTTTCGCGGATGCCCCGTGCGGACCGTATCCGTGCGACCGCGCATCCACGGGACCGCGCCCGCGCCCCAGAATCCATACCGCGAGGGATATTCTCTCGGACCTCCGCGCGGATTTCTTGGATCGGCGCTTGGCCTCGCTTGCAGTGCCTCCTGCGCCGCCTTTGGCGCGGTCTGCGCTGCCAGGGAGGGGGGATCAGCGCAGACATAAAAATTCCGCGCGGATTTCCGAAAGTTTATGTTGTTTTGTGTTTCGTTTTGATGTTTGATATCTGGGTAATTTCGCCGTTCGCCGCTTTCGCGGTGAATCCAAGGTGGCCTTTGCGCGTGATCTGAACACCCTTTTTGCACCCCCCGCAGGGGTGCCACTCATGAATCGGCGCTGGTATATCCTAGTCGAAGACTGGCCGGATCTGATTCAGCCCCGCTTAATCTGGTTTGATCCCCATGAGTCTGGCTTGATCCCGCTAGTCCCGGCTCAACCCTGGGCTCGATCCGGCCTGATTCTGTTCAGTGGCAGCTCGATCAGGCTTGATCGCCCTTCGTCGTTCTGCTGACGACCTCCCAGGAGTTGCCTCCTAATCTTACTCCGTGGCCATGCGCCGCGCGCGGCGGGAGGCCTACGACGTGCTCAGCCCAGGCTTCAACTACATCACGGTTTTCGCAGCGGCCCCCCGCTGCCCCGCGGCCGGTGCAGGATGAGCGGGAGCTAGAGGAGTGGAAGGAGGAAGAAGAGGACGAGGATCGACGAGTAAATATTGCATTGGCCTCCGAAAATTTATGTTCATGCAGATTTTATCCTGAAGATGGGGAGGGGGAGGGGGAGGCGCAGGATCGAGGTAAGGATGAGGAGGACCGTAGTAAATTGAATGTGCATTAGCGATAATGCCATACTGTCTCCCGTCCCAAGTCGCCTCCTCAGAAGTCCCTGCAAGTCTTCTTTGCCACTGCAAGAAGCGCCCCGTTGAAATACCGAGACCCTAAGGACCTGTTATTCAAGCGACAACCCCGTTTTGAAAAAGGAGCCTGCCTTGCACCCTTCTGGCGAGCAGTAACAATAATTCCGAACATGTCTGATTATACCGCTCAGTGATGTGTCCAGCGAGATCCCCTCGTTTTAGAGGATCGCCCCATGCTTGTATTTGCTACACATGGATACAGCTCTGGTCATGAACTCCGAGCAGTTCGCAAGCGAGAGCCGTTTTTGAAAAAGAGCTACCTGCCATCAGTGCAGCCGTTACATATGTTCGGTGCTCTGTTCTCTCGATCGAAGGATGTCTCAGGCGGAAAAAAGCGCGTTCTGTGGTCGCTTGGAAGGGGGGGGGGGAACCGGACCTCCCCCCCCGTTGTGCTGCTGGTAGTGGTCGTTGTTGTGGCGGTTGTGGTGGTGGTGTGGTAGATTGTGGTGGTGGCGGTAGTGGTGGTGTTTTTTTTTTGTGGTGGTGGTGGTGGTGATGGTGAGTTGTGGTGGTGGTGGTGGTGGTGGTTGTGGTGGTGTGGTGGTTTGTGGTGGTGGTGGTGGTGGGTTGTGGTGGTGGCGGTGGTTTGTGGACGTTTATTGTTGTGGTGGTGGTGGTGGCGGCGGTGGTGGTGGTGGTGGTGGTGGTGGTGGTGTGGTGGTTTGTGGTGGTGGCGGTGGGTTGTGCTGCTGGTAGTGGTTGTGGCAGTGGTGGTGGTGGTGTGGTAGATTGTGGTGGTGGTAGTGGTGGTGGGTTTTTGTGGTGGTGGTGGTGGTGATGGTGAGTTGTGGTGGTGGTTGTGGTGGTGGTGGCTGTGGTGGTGGTGGTGGTTGTGTGGTGCTGTTGTTGTTGGTGGTGGTGGTGGTGGGTTGAGGCGGTGGTGGTGGTGGTAGTGGTTGGTGGTGGGTGGTGTATCGTCGCTGCGTCCCCGCCGTCGCCGGCGCCACGCCACCGCTGCTGGCCGGGCAGCGCTTCGCCGGCGCGACAGGGGGGGGGGGTTGGACCCCCCCCCACGGCGACAGGCAGGGGGGGGGGGGTTGAACCCCTCCATCCCCCCCCCTTGGGCTGCCTCTGGTCATCGTCGCTGCGTCGCCGCCGTGGGCGCTGCTGGCGGCCGCCAGCGCCGAAGGGGGGGGGGAGGGAGAGGTTTTGAACCCCCCTCCCCCTGGGAGGAGGGGGGGGTTGAAACCCGCCCCCCTTGGGAGGGGGGGGGGTGGTCGGGAGAGAGGGGTCTGTGGGGGGGGACTCCTGGTTTTGATCGACGGCGCCGAGCGTTGGGGGGGGGCCCACCCCCTGGTTTGAAACGCGCCGCCGAATGTTTCCAAGGCAAGCGCCCGTGCAACGCGTTCTTTCCTCAAGCGAAAGCCTCGTCTTGAGAAGGAAGCGTATTTCATCCTCGTAACTGCTGTCCATTGTTAAGGCGGGTGTGCGAAAGACGCAAAGGCGAGAGCCCCATTCAGAAAAGGCCCCATCTAGAAAAGTCGCTATCGTCCATCTAATTTTGTCAAATTTCAAGGCGAAGGTGCCCAGGGCTAGGGCGAGAACCACAATTTGACAGCCAAGTGTATTTCATGATGGCATCCGCCGCAAAGTTCTTGCGACGAAAGTGCGCGACGCTACGGCGAGTCCCCAAGTTTGAAAATGTCTTGTGATCCGTCATTGCAACTGTTGCATGCCGTTGTTTAAAGGCTGCCGCCTCTGCCGCCGACCCCAAAGAGGATCCTTCCCCGCGCGGAGTCTGTTGCTTGGTTGTCCACGGCGGTGTTACGGGGCCATCCATGTTTTGGGATTGTAGCTACGAGGTATCGCGGGTGTTCAGGAGCGCGCGGTCGTAGTATTGCATTGCCATTCGGGTTTCCGGGGGGGTTCTGGGGGCGAAAGGCTCGGGAAGTGGCGTTGAGTTTTTTCCTTGTATTCTTTCGGCTCTGTTGGATTATTAGGTTTCTTGTGGAGGCCTTTGCATGTCTGCTCACGGCGTTTGGGATTGTAGCCGCGAGGTATCGGAAGATACGGCGCCGAGGAGCGGCGCAGGCAGCTGCGCACGGAGGTAATATTACATTGGCATTCGGGCCTCCTGTAGGGAAGGTTGGGGTAGTAGGTTCGCGTTCCTTCCTGAGATTATTTCGTGTGTTGTCTTTTGGCTTCCTTGAGCATGTATTGCGCTCTCTCTTCTGTTTGGGTTTTATGTTGCAAGCCTTTTGGACGTTCATGGGGTAGCCGAGACGTGCTGAAACGCCTACATATTGTACCAATATAAACAGCATGAATGATTATATAGGCTTGCGCCACATCCGCCGACCCCTACATAAACTATTGCGCCTCCAGGACACGAGGCTTGTCCGATGACACGGCGCTCGACATCGTTCCTGTTGTTTCGTTGTTGTCATCGTACCTCTTGGTGCTCCTTTGTAACCTTGTGGTGGCATCTTGGCCTGACTGCAGGCCATATCCGGCCGCCTGCCAAGCAGGCGACCGTGCCAAGCAGGTGACGGAAAGCGCGCGTAGATCCGTCAGCCTGAAGGAATTATAGAGGGATTGTGCGGGGGTGGCCTCCGCAGTGCGGGGTGTCGGCAAGCGCGCGTAGCGTGCGATCCGTTAGTCGGAAGAGTTAATTCGGGGGAGTGTGAAGGTGTGGCCTCTGCATTGCGGGATCTAATGGCCCGCCCTTTTCCCTGTTAACGGAGCTCTTGACAGGGAAAATCTTGTGTTTTTCTGGCCCGCCCGTTTCCTTGCTAACGGACCGTTAACATGGACTTGTTTTGTTCGGGTATTTTTTTCCTTGTTAACGGGGCCCTTAACAGGGAGCATTGTGTTTAACAGGGAAAATCCTCTCCTTTCCCTGTTAACGGAGCCCTTGACAGGGAACATCGGGTGCTTAATAGGGACAATCCGGTGACGGACGCCCGGGCACCCTGTTTCTTGTTCACGGAGCCCTTAACAGGGACTTAACACGGAAAATCGGGTGATGGACGCGTTGTTTCCCTGTTAACGGACCGTTCACAGGGAAAAGAGTTCCTTGTTAACGGACCGTTAACGGACCCTGAGTTCCGCGGCTCCCAAGAGCGAGCAGTGACGTAAACAGTCTGATAAGACCAAGGCTCCCAACAGAGAGCGGTGACGTAACCAGTTCTTGACACCAGGGCCCGAAACGGGCGGCAACGTAAGCTCCGCGTAGGCTCCGCGTAGGCTTCGCGTAAGCACGTAAAGTCCTCGTCAACCTGAGGTACCTCCAAGACAGCCCATGCGAGGCCAAGCGTCCTCCAAGACGGTCCAAGATGCCTCCAAAACGACGACCCAAGAGGCCAGAGGCCCGTAAGATCGCCCCAAGATGGCCCAAGATATCCCCAAGACGGTCCCAAGACGTGTTCGAGCGTCTGCACGTATGCAGAGGGTTTCAACGGTCTCCAAGACGGCGTAGAGAGGCCCAGACGGGCCCGAGGACGGCCCAAGAGCGATAAAGATGCCACACGAC